AGTAAAAATGTTATGTTGTCATGGCGAGATAGATTATCTTGACAAGTCGACATAATACATATTGTATGTTGTCATGGCGAGATAGATTATCTTGACAAGTCGACATAATATAAGTTGTATGTTGTCATACAACTTAAGACAACTAAACAGTTTAGTTGTCTTAAGGACTCCTCTTCATAGAATTTAATGTCCATTACGACAGTGGCAGAGCCTTTATCAGCTGGTTTGATGATAATATCATCACGCTGACGCAAATTGGCGATGGCCTGCCTCTCATTTTTTGTGAGATTGTCGCGGAAATCTGGACTAGGAGTGTGGTTTTTAACGTCCTCCTCAATGGCCTGAATGAAAGTTTCTAAAGCTGGGCAACGAATCTTAGGGGGATTCCAGGTACTTTTAGGTTTGAATTTAGTAACATTGCCCGTGTTATCCGTGGTGTTGCCGTCGGAATCGGCGAAAAATTCACGGCATCTTAAACGTCGGAAGAAAGCTTCCAGATCCAAAGATAGTTGTTGTGGGTCAGCCTGCCTCGGTTTTGGGCAAAATTTGAGTCCTCGGGATAAAAGTTTGGTTTCTCCTTCGGAAAGCTGACAGTTAATTTGAACAACTGAATCCGTGGTGTTGCACGGATTATCACTAAAGCGCCGAATGAACCTTCTAGGTTTACGTGAAAGCCAAATATTGTGCAAAGGTTCGAACACTTGTGTTGAAGTGATATTGTCTCGACCAAATTTGTGTTGTCTCCTCAGGGAAAGTTCCTTGGAAAGCTTAAGGCAATCCTTGGCAATAATCTTGAGTTTGTTTTGAAACTCAGATATAGGAAGGATCTAGATGTTAGTCCTAAAGTGAATTTGGTTGTCGATGTCTTTGAGGAGTTTGCGGCAGTTGCCAATTAGGACCTCATTTAATCGACATGCATTTTTGTTAAGGACGCCATTCCAGCGGGAATGGAAGTCACGATCCGCGAATGGAATACCAGACCTGACATGAAATTGTAGTCCTTTAGGAGCCGAATTGTTAGAACGATGTTCAAGATAAATAATAAGATGGTTACGATACCTGACGCGCTTTTCCGACAAGCGTTGTAGAAATTTGAAATTGTCCAAAGTACCCTCCAGAATTACAGCAGAGTTGGATCAAAATGATACAAACAGTAGAAAATGATATATAGATTAAAAGGCAAAATACTGGAAAGCAACAATGCTGTGGGAAACAATGGCTGGATCTCAGTAATAAGATGGTTACGATGCCTGACGCGCTTTTCCGACAAAAGTGTCGTAGAAATTTGAAATTGTCCAAAGTACCCTCCAGAATGTATATATA